CCCGGGGCCTTGGTGTTATTAGCACCGCACTCTACCGAGTGAGCCACGGGCCGGCCCCAAACTTATTTTAATTTAAATTTTTCTTATAACAAACATTCAAACTGTTTACATGCAAATAGCTTTTTTTTTTTCTTTTTTTCTTTTCCCCTCCAATTATATGTGAGCCTGCCAAGAAACTCTGGCAAGTTTCTACTCATTTTTTAAATTAAACTTCAAAATGGTTAAGCGACCTATAATATAAGCTGCTTTTGCTTACCTGAAGAACTTTATGAGCAAGCGTCACACTGTGGATAATTTCGGTGCTTTGTTTCTTATCTTTATTATAGAGCAATGGAGGAACAAAGCGTCAAAAGATATCCCATCAAAATTATATAGCCTATCAAAAGCAAGTTATTCGACGGAGTATGCGACATAGAAAAGTTCGTGGTGAGAAAGCACTTCTCGTCTCTGCTAATCAAACATTAAAAGAATTGAAAATTCAGGTGAGGAAAATAATATTTGTTCAAGTCTGCTCTGGGTTTAAGAGGGCCTTCATGAGTTGCTGCTTCTATCTGTGTTTATATACGTATCTGTGCTTTCTTTCAGCTTGAGCTTTTTAATATCTGTCTGCTTATAGTATTAACCCATTGAGAGAGGGCTTTTTGATTTCAGAATAATGCCTGCAGGGCCCCAAATTAAAAATAATTATTTCTTTAAAAAGACAAAGTTTTCAAAATAGCCAAGAATCTTTCTGTGAAGATGTGATTTTTAGATTCTGAAACCTTGAGCAAACTCGAGTAGCTTTCCAATAATGAGAAACATTGAGAACCATTTAATTTGTCACATGTTGAGGTTGTTCCAGGATAATTGTTCTCTCACTTCATTGTGCTGTATGTTTTTCTTTGACCACTTAATAGGTATTTGAGCCTATTACCGGCATCTGCTATGAAATTTAAGGGGAGATAAAAGGGAGCCACTTGATTACTTATTCACTAGGATGAGTCAAATTCTTTTATCACAGTATTTTTGGTGGTAGATAAGTCTGTTTGATAGAATTTTTAAGTTATCTTTACCTTTCTTTACACAGTGATGTTTTCCAAATTGTTATAAAGGTTCATTTTAGATCATGCTCTCTCCACCCTCCCCCCCAAAAGCATGCATTGCTTTGTAAATCAAGGCAGTGATTGTAATGCAGGCATTGTGAAAAGGTTTCATGATATTATTTCTTGGTATTAATACTAAAGTTCTGTAAATGAGCATTCTAATGACATATCTCAAAACCGAGGCAAAAGGAGCTGATAAATTCAGGATGTCCACGAAAAAATCTGGCCCTTAATCTATTTCAGTCACTGATAGATATCCAAAAAGTTGACCTAATTTTCCTCTTTGTGCTACTTTTATGTGGCATAGTTTACTGCTTATACATTTTTCTTGTTGCTGATATTTATCATAGTAATTGAGGTAGAAGCACAGGCTTCCTTTGAGGGTGTTACGTGTTCCAGATTGTCCTGAGAACAGTACTTCCCTTGGTTGAACCCACGGCTCTGAAAATAAATGTACTGGCATAATATCTTTGCTCTGTTATTGTACCTTTTACATCTAAGAAAGCTGGTTTCTATCACCGGCTTTCTGCCTGTCAGTGGTAAACCTCGAACATTTCAAAACCTTTAAATTACAAAAAGAGCCCCTGTGGATAAAGACATTTTTAAAAGCCTGTGCTGCTTTTATTATGGACTACTATTTTTGAAGACTAAATCAGAAGTCAGCAGAAATAACCTCTCCATCTGGCAGCATGTTACCTGCACGAATGAGCTGCTAGAAGGCAGCAGCTGTTCAAATGAAACCCTCCAGTGGTTCCTTTGCAGTGTCTTTTCTCTCGTCTGCCACTTTTGCTTCAAGGACCACTGTGATCCAGAGTCAAAAGAAAAGGCACTGAAATGTAATTTTCCCCTCACTGCTCAGTGGTGGTAGCTTTCAAAGCTTCAGCTAGATATGACCCTTTTGCCTGGCAGCCTGGATAGTACTGGAGTTTGTGGTGGGTATGTGTGTGATCCTCAATTGTTGGTGGTAGGTGATTTTTTTTAAAGCATGAAATTCATTTTTTCATGTTTGCTGGAGCCTTTCCTTGGAGGATACTGCATTTTCAAGTTAATAGGATGAAAACCTTTGCAGAGCTGTAAATGTTTGATTCTGGACATGTCTGCCATGTACAGTTGCTGGAAACTTTAAGAAACTTGCTCTGCCTAATTATTAATTCATCTACCTATGATGCCATAAAGTAAATGAAGTACAATTTATGTCTCTCCTTTCTCAGAAGATGCTCAGTGTTTAGTTGTATTGTTTCTTTTTTCCAATGATAGGTCTTTACTGGGTGGTATTGCCTGCCTTAGAAAGGAGAACATTTTGGCACAGAGGTGAAATGGTTGGCAGCTGAGGCCAGTGCTCCTGCCTTTCCTTATTGCAGCTGCACCCACCATAGCGCACAGAACAGTGCAGCAGGGAGCTGCTCCCCTTTAGCAACAGGGTTTTCATTGTTCCTGTTATTCTCCATAGATCAGGAATGCAGCACCCACTCGTTAAACAGACCTATGCCATGTTAATTATACTCAAGCATTCTTTTTTTTTGTCTTTTTCGTGACCGGTAAGGGGATTGCAACCCTTGGCTTGGTATCGTCCGCATCGCACTCAGCCAGTGAGCGCACCGGCCAGTCCTATATAGGATCCGAACCCGCGGTGGGAGTGGAGCTGCGCTCCCAGCACTACACTCTCCCGAGTGCGCCACGGGGTCAGCCCTATACTCAAGCATTCTTATGGTACCATAGGCCTCCTGCCTTGATTGGCCTCTTCCCTTTGCTGAAACATTGTCTTCTCCCCACTACCAAACACTCGCTCCTCTTTCATAGTACCTCTTCTATGAAACCTGTCTCAGCCCCTGTCAGAGAAAGGACTGTCCGTCTATGCTTCATTAGATCCTTCACGTACCTTCTGCCACTATCTTCCCGACTTTGTTTTGCCCTCATTCCTGTGAACTCTTCAGGGTGGGATTGTTCACTTCATATTTCTGGCACCTAGCACAGTACTCGACACATGGAAGCTTCTTCGTAAATGCTTCATTAATTGATGAATGTATTTAAATGTCCCTGTCTGTGTGCTCAAAATATAAAGTATGAGCATCGCGTCTCAGTGATAGTCCTCGTGTCTTGAGGTGTTTGGTGTTTGTCCAGTCTCACAGGGTAGTACAAAGACATTTAGCATTTAGGGAAGTGAACAAGCATTCCTACATCAAGCCGTTGTGACATTGCCGGTTTAGCATCACATATCTCCACCTAACTCTGCTTGCATCTTTGTGGGGCCCCTTTGCTAACGTAGGGCTGGATGCCTCTGCTTGATGCTTGTGTACTGAGCTGGCTTTGGTAGAACTGCCCTGTCAGTACTTCTTGCACACCAGAAATAGGCACATTGCTTTGTGAAGGTCATCGGTGCCAGTGCACTTCGCGTTGTTAGCCACAGATCTCTGTTTAGTCTCCTGCTTACTTTTCAGGAGCTAATATCCTTTCGAGAGGTCCAGATAAGAATCTGGCCCAACAGTTAGGGAGGAGGCCAGTGTTGTTATCTTTGTTCTTATTTATCTGTGTGCCATTATTAAAACCACTTTTTTGGTCAACATTTCCCCACCTTATAAAGCTCTTGGGCCCTGTTATACACATAGTTAGTTCAGGGCTGATTTGCTAGGCTCATTTTGTCTTTCCAAATCCAAAGAGTAGCATGCAGGAAAAGGTAGAATGGTTTTCACATAACATCATGGATACTGGTGTAATATAAGATACATATAAGAGGATACATTCAACTAGTATGTAACTAAATTATATAAGGAATACTCTTGAACTTGTCCTACAAAGTAAGAATTAGAACAGTGTCATTGAAGGTACCTTGTGTTTGCCTATCTGAGCCCAACTCCTACTTGCCTTCCAGAGGTAAAGACTATCAGGAAATGATAAAAAAAAATTTTAAGAAAAGAACTTTCAGAATTTGAAAAAAGCACTTAAGTATTATGCATAGCAGTCTTTCAGAATGTATTTAACTTAAAAAATAGCTAGCAGGATCCCCACTGTGCCAAACACCACTGCGTCATGTAGTAGAATAATTTTTCAGGTTTTTCAGCTGTGTAATATATGCTTTTTATGCCCAGATCCCCAGTTCCGGTGTGATAAAGTCAGGCCTTGGAATGATGAAGCAGATCCATGTCCACCTCACACATGTGCACACACCCATCATCCTGCCACCTCCCCTCCCTCTGTTTACTTTTTGCTTTTCCTGGAGCTGTAGGTTCTCTGAAATGATTTGAAGACCTGTCGAGTTGCTGAATCTTAATGAACCTGTCTGACATCCTAGAAGCAGCCTGCGTTATCAAAGGGTTTCTTCTTCAGCTGGGCAGCTAGAGTCTGTACTGGTCACTGGCCTCTTTGCCCTGCAGCTGATCTCACCATAAGCTTGGATTCAGTGTGGTCTTCTGCCCTAAAAAGGAAGTGGTGATTTTGTTCTTGATGGAGAAGTGGGACAAAAGTTTAATTTTAACCTAATTGATATTTTGAGAGGACCAGTCTAACTTTTATTTCTACCTAACACTCATTGCCATCCCTAGCATCTTAACTCACATTGATTAAATCAGTTTTGGTAGCCTCAGATTATCTAAAGGTGTGCTTAGGAGCAGGAAAACGGTGTCCCCCCCACCATATGCCATTTTTGAGGTGATAAGTCTAGACCCATAGTTGGCAGGTATCTATTGTTAAACCTGGCCATCGCTGGCTGTGGCTCGAAGTGAGCTCTTTGCTGGACTGTGTTCACATTTGTGTTTTGTAGCAATATCAGTATTTGAATCATGGGCCAGACTTCAGCATGGTGAGTAGCTGGCATGCTCTTCCTCCTGCTTCCATTTCTCTTTGGTTTTAAATTGTCTTCATTTGCTTTCTAGGCTGATGAACCAATTGCAGATTATGCTGCAATGGATGATGTCATGCAAGGTAAAGACAAATTTGTTTTAGGAATCTGTCGGTTAATTGTTAGAAAGATGTGGGATTATAGATATTGAAAGATTAGTGTGCAGTGTTTTTACTTTTAACCTTGAAAAAAACTTGTACATGTTATTCAGGTAGAATCTTACATTCTTTTAAAGATTATAACAAGAGGGAAGGATATCTATAAAAATTTGGAAAATGGAAAGCCAGAGATAATAATAGTTTTAGCTAACTTGAGGAAACTGAGATACAAGGGACCCTAGGCTTCTCCAGATACAGATCTATTTTTCATTCCCTTCAGACTGGGAAGAAGGAAGTGATGTTGGGTTGTGCCCCTCTGAGCACTGAGGAGGGACTGTCAGACCTACGAGCAAACACGTTGGGTGTTCTGCTAGACCAGCTGGGCAACCCAGTCTGAGGTCACAGAGTCTCTGTGGTGTCCCTCTCACCCCTATATACACACTTTCTTTTCTTTGGGGACTAGCTAGAGATTCTGTTCTTAAAATCACATTAATAATATTGATGTCTGCAACTTACTTTGTTGTTGTTTTGTTTTGTTGGTGCTGACCAGTATGGGATCCGAACTCTTCACATTGCTGTTATCAGCACCGTGCTCTACCAAATGAGCTAACCATACAGTCCTGCTTTACTTTGAAATGCTGTCCCCCCAACCCCCCCCCACCAGTATGGGATCCGAACTCTTCACATTGCTGTTATCAGCACCGTGCTCTACCAAATGAGCCAACCATACAGTCCTGCTTTACTTTGAAATGCTGTCCCCCCAACCCCCCCCCAAAAAAAAATGGGTAGTAGATAGGTGATCAACATGAATAGTAACTCTAACTTACTTTACACTTTAAAATCTAGATCTATTATTTTTAACAAAATAATGGAAACCTCTACTGTCTTCACTGAGATTTTCATAATTTTTGTTAAAAAATAATAGGTCTAGATTCAGCCTCCTCCCTTTTTTCCTACCTTCTGGATCAGCAGAATTACTTAATCATGCTTCTATGAAAGCATCCCCTCTTTTCCTCTTGGTTCAGAAATACCAGCCAGTCAAGCTAGGAAACAAGCGTAAGACATGAGTCTCTGTCACAATAGTCAGGGTACTCAGATGGCCTAATGGGATTCTTGACCAGAGTATGGAAATCAGCTTTGGATTTAGTGGATGTGGAAGATGTTTTAGAAAGTAGGGGCTTCTTTCAAAGAAAAAATCATTGAGCCAGCCTCATTAGCCTAATCCGTCCCTTCCTAAGGGCCCAATTTAGTCACTTCCCTTTGCCTCTTTTGTTTCTTGGTGGCTAGCAGGATCCCCACTGTGCCAAACACCACTGCGTCATGTAGTAGAATAATTTTTCAGGTTTTTCAGCTGTGTAATATATGCTTTTTATGCCCAGATCCCCAGTTCCGGTGTGATAAAGTCAGGCCTTGGAATGATGAAGCAGATCCATGTCCACCTCACACATGTGCACACACCCATCATCCTGCCACCTCCCCTCCCTCTGTTTACTTTTTGCTTTTCCTGGAGCTGTAGGTTCTCTGAAATGATTTGAAGACCTGTCGAGTTGCTGAATCTTAATGAACCTGTCTGACATCCTAGAAGCAGCCTGCGTTATCAAAGGGTTTCTTCTTCAGCTGGGCAGCTAGAGTCTGTACTGGTCACTGGCCTCTTTGCCCTGCAGCTGATCTCACCATAAGCTTGGATTCAGTGTGGTCTTCTGCCCTAAAAAGGAAGTGGTGATTTTGTTCTTGATGGAGAAGTGGGACAAAAGTTTAATTTTAACCTAATTGATATTTTGAGAGGACCAGTCTAACTTTTATTTCTACCTAACACTCATTGCCATCCCTAGCATCTTAACTCACATTGATTAAATCAGTTTTGGTAGCCTCAGATTATCTAAAGGTGTGCTTAGGAGCAGGAAAACGGTGTCCCCCCCACCATATGCCATTTTTGAGGTGATAAGTCTAGACCCATAGTTGGCAGGTATCTATTGTTAAACCTGGCCATCGCTGGCTGTGGCTCGAAGTGAGCTCTTTGCTGGACTGTGTTCACATTTGTGTTTTGTAGCAATATCAGTATTTGAATCATGGGCCAGACTTCAGCATGGTGAGTAGCTGGCATGCTCTTCCTCCTGCTTCCATTTCTCTTTGGTTTTAAATTGTCTTCATTTGCTTTCTAGGCTGATGAACCAATTGCAGATTATGCTGCAATGGATGATGTCATGCAAGGTAAAGACAAATTTGTTTTAGGAATCTGTCGGTTAATTGTTAGAAAGATGTGGGATTATAGATATTGAAAGATTAGTGTGCAGTGTTTTTACTTTTAACCTTGAAAAAAACTTGTACATGTTATTCAGGTAGAATCTTACATTCTTTTAAAGATTATAACAAGAGGGAAGGATATCTATAAAAATTTGGAAAATGGAAAGCCAGAGATAATAATAGTTTTAGCTAACTTGAGGAAACTGAGATAAATGTGCAAGCCTACAGATGGAAGAGGTTGATAAGAAGCAATGCTAATTCCAGTCGCAGCACCCCAGACAGGCACACAGGAATTGGAGACCCCAGGTACTTTTGAGAGTGGGAGTGAGGTGCCAGCCTAGAGACAGGAAGCTTAGTTGGAAAAAGCAGTTAGACAGCTCCCTGCCTGCAGAACCTTGCCACTCCCTCCCTTCACATTCACGTCACCGCCTCTGCCCTATCTGCACCTCACTTGGGTGATGAGTCTGAGTTTCATCCCCTTGAAGAAATTAAACTAGAAAGGTGGGAGTGAGACCCATTACATAGCAAACAGGAGACCACCCTCTAGCCCTTTGGTCAAATGCTGGCAGTCCATCTCTTACCTCCCACATATGATGAAGGGGGATTCTTCTCCGGAGAAACTGGCCAATTCAAGAAAATAAGCTACAGATATTTTTAAAAAGCTGGTTCATCTCTCAGGTACCCTTTAGTGAAGCCCACTTGTGCCCACTGAACAGAGATTTCAGACATCTTTTTAGTATCTCACCCTTAAATAGGTAGAAACGGGCAGCCAAAGGTCACCAAACAGTTGATCGATCAACAAATTGAAAAAAAGAAACACAGAGGAAATAGTGTAGGAAGCAGAAGACAGCTTAAAAATTACCTATAAATAATATAGAGAAAAAGAGCAGACAATAGCCAGGGCCTATATTATAGGAACATTTGGAGAACAAAAAAGAATTCATGGAAATAAAATTGTTACAGCAAGGGTCTGATACAGTATGTGAAAAACTAGAGATAAGAGGATCCTAAAAGCTTCTAGAAATAGGGAGGGGAAACCAGTCACATTCACAGTATGAGGAGTCAGGAAAACGAGGTAATGGAGCAGTGCCCCCAAGATTCTGAGGGAAAGTGAGCTCCAGTCTAGAATTATGTGACTGGACAGACTTTTTTCTGCCCTCACATCTGATGCTTTTTGAACACATGTAAGGCCTCAAAAGATTTCTCATGCACCACCTGCCAGGATACTGTGTGAGATGTGCTGTTCTTAAACACGAGAGTAAATCCAGAAGGAAGCTGACAGTGGGACCAGTAAACAGGGGATCCAGCGTAGGTCAAGATGCCCTGGAAGATGGGGAAGGGAAGTTCCAGAACAGACAGTTCTGCAGCAGGGAGCGAGGGCATCCGGTTCAGAGTGGAGTGGCGGGATGCAGGCTTTGGGAAATGGTGTCCACAAGGAAAAGTGGAAGCGATGATGACTGCCTTGAAGAGGTTCACAGGTCTTTAAGAATTTACACTTGAACTGGAGATAGGCACAGAGAAAATGAAACACATCAGTAATGCAGCAGTTACCAATCCCAGAAAGACAGGTATACCACACAAGAAATATAACTGGGTGCACCAAGGAGTTCAACCGTGAGCAGTATCAGTAGCGACAGAAGTAACCTCACCGCCGGAGACTGGCTTAACAACAACAAATACCACTATGTGGGGAGGATGGTTGAGGAGGCAGGTGGTTTGTAAGAGGTGGCAGAAGAGCTAACTTTGTATCTTGCATTGAGGAAGTTATTAGATATCATCTAAAATTATGAGCATGTTTTTTAGAAATAAAGAGGTTAAATAGCTTAAGAAACTGCTGTAAGAGTCAGAAGTGGTTCCTTCTAGAATATGGGAATGAGAAGAGGAGGAGGAGAGACAGCTTTGGAAGAGTCATCCACATCGTTTTCTCAGGCCACTCCTCGAGTCATGCAGAATGTTGGCCCTAGTTACAAACCTTGTCCTACCAGTATTTGACTTTGTAAATGATGCATGTATATTACTCTGATTAAATATAAAAACAAAGATGATTATCCTCAGATTGATACAAGTGTACTTCAAAAAGTTTGCAGAAAAATTGAATTAAAAGATAAATGAATCTTTCCATGAACTTTTTTTCATCTATAACTTTGAAAGTAATCATTTCAGGTGACATAATTAAAAGTTATTTTAAACTTTTCATCTTTAGGCATAGAAGTGATCTTATTACTGTCTGTCACAACAGTCTTTTCAATTTGGGATTTTTTTTTTCCAGTTTGTATGCCAGAAGAAGGGTTTAAAGGTAAGTTACATTTGTCATGTTTTGTTCATGAATGTCAGAGTCATACTGTAATTTTCTATTAAAGTAAAGGCTATAATTTGATTTTAAAATTTAATTCAATCTGAGTCTCATGACTGAAATTAATTTTAGTTAAATGGATTTTTTATTCCAGCTTCTTCATTATCTTTTTCAGCACTCAGGCCTCAGATGGGGCCTGTGTATTAGAACTCTCTTCTGCCAGATTTCCATTAGGCTTTCTCTTTCTCATTTCATGGGAGGTTGGGAAATTAGCTAGTGGCATTTCAAGATTTATATTTAACCTTTTCCCAGTTCCTCTATCAGTCTCATCTTAGAGCAAAACAGTTGTGTGTGTGTGTGTACCTGATAAGAAATAGTGGTAGAAGAATTTGCTGAATTATATCAGGTCCAGTGAAAGGTTTAATTAATCTATTCAGAATTAAGGCATTTGTTGGGTTATTACTTCAGGTAGGCACAACAGTGCCTTGTAACTGCATCATGGCCACTATAGTTGAGCACAATAATATTCATTAATCCATCAAATACAGACCTTTGACATTTATGGATTTTAGCTGTTGACGTGTTGATTCTCTGTGGACCACTCCAGAGGTCCATGAAAGGTTGTGCTTTTGCCAAGGAATGAGTTTGAATCAAATACCAGGGGTTCTTTGCTAAAGCAAATGAGTGACAAAGCTACAGGCCTAAATAAAGTCTTCCTCTCAATGCGGCTTTGTTGTCTATATGCTGCCACTACAAAGGAACTCCTGATGTGGTAACACAAAACAAAGCAAAACAATTCTTTAGGAAAAATAGTCATCTAATGAAAGCATCAATAAAACCCGATTAACTTATGTGAAGATATGCATAGGAAACAAACACATGGCTTTCAACAGAAATGTGACTTAGCTGAAAGCCTGGAGTCTGCTGATGGTTTTCCTTATCCTTCAACGCCAAGGGGCTGCTGTGTTCATTTATTAAATTGGATATTCCCTGTTGATGATGCATTCTTGGCAAATGGAATACATGAACTCTTGATCTTTAGTTCACAACTGTACCTCCACGTGTGTTTCTTTTCTCAGGTACTGGTCTCCTTGGACATTAATCTTTGAACACTTGCTGACTGCTAAGAAATGACCAGAGGGGAAGAGGAGTTTGACATGTTAGGGCATTAAAGAAAAGGTGGATTAAGAATTAAACCATTATGTGGCTCTTCCAAAAGGCAAAAATCCATTCGAAAGTGACTGTCCCAAAATGCCTTATGTCAAATAAAGCAGATTGCACTGAAGGACACCAGACTTGAAGGAAATGTTTGAAATTTTATATTTAAGGGGGGTGGTGGGAGGGAAGGGGCAGGTAAAGACTGAACAAGTTTAGTAGCAGTAACAGTAAATCATGTTTACATATGAGATTTATAGTCATGGGAGGTAATAAAGTTCTGTTATATTTCCTTGCTCGAGTTTCATACCAGATGCATTGGTCCATAAAGGATTTGTATCACAGTAGATGGGACAACATTCTGCTCTGAACTAAACGTAATTCTTTAGAGACATAACCTGATTACCAATACCTGTCTTTGATTCATATTCTACTTTCAATAAAGCATGAAAGTGAAGAAAGAACTTGCCGTAATTGTGGAAAAGTGTCTTCAGATTTTAGACTCCTCTCCATGTCAGCTGCAGCGCACCGCCTTACACGCTGCCCGGCGTCTGTCTCAGTGTTGTGTAAAGGAAGGGGCACCTGCATGTCTTTTGCAATGAGCAAGGGATTATGTCTCATTTTGGGCTTCAAAGGCTTTTTGCTTTGGTGCATTTCAGAAAAGATGGAGAATATTAATATGTGTGATAGCATCTTCCTCTGGTTTTGCTATTGTTCAAAAGTGGGAAATCAGAATCTGAACATCTTATCAGAAGAGTAAATTTGACTGAAGTACATTTGGATAACTCAAGGTTTTTATAAAATTTGTCCTTCCCATCCTCCAAGCCCCCTGTTTCTTGGATCTCACTTCTCTGTTTAAAAGTGTTCTGAAATGCCTTGAAAGAATCTTTTAGATCACTTTGTTTAAAAAAGAAAAGCATGTACGGACGGAGTGTGCTATTTTATCCAACTCAGAGTTATTGTTATTAGCAACAAATAACCAAAGCAATATTCTTAAGAATATTGAAGGATTTTTAATGGAACCTAAGACTGGAGTTGCTTTTTTTTTAAAGAAATTATGTTTTTTCTATTGAGTATGTATGTATATGTTTGTGGCTGAGCTACTGACTTAGGCATCTTGTTAACATGTTTTTTTGGCCTTGAGTTTATGCTGGGCTTTCTTTCTTTTTTTTCCTTTCTTTTTATGAAAATTTGAATGCAAATAAATAATGGTTGAGGGAGGCAGATTTCAATTTGAGGACCAGCAACCTTGGCAGCATCCCTTTTGAATAGCTTTTTATCAGAATAATACTGGCTGTTTGATAAAATGCTAACTTGGTGTTTGCGATTCCCCTCTGTGTGTAATGTGTTCAGTCTGTGCCCCGGAGGAGGCAGGGGGGGTTAATGAGTCTGTGTGGGAGAGGGAGAGCTGTATGCAACACTCTCCGAAACCATCATAGGAGCGGCAACAGAGGGACCAGCAGTTCCAGCCTTGCACAGGGGAAGGGGAAGGGAAGTTGAGCTCACGGATAGCTAATCCTGATTTTTAGGTCTGTCTTTTATTTTGCTGTAAAGAAATGAACCTGGAGCCTAAAAATAGGAACACAAAGCATCTTATTCTTTCCCAAGGTAAAGACTTGTGTAAAAGTTCACATAGTGCTTCATGGAGTAGCTTCCTTTTCCTTACAAAGGAGCTTGTTGGCCAGGGGAGGTTCTTTCCAGTGATTGACACAAACATGTCAGTAGCCTCCAGAAATCTGGTCTATTTTTCCCAATTTGCTGTTGGTAACAGTTTTTAAATTTGTTACTTGGGTTTTCCTTTTGCAATGGTACAAAATAACAGCCTTTTGTTCCAGTGATTGACACAAACATGTCAGTAGCCTCCAGAAATCTGGTCTATTTTTCCCAATTTTCTGTTGGTAACAGTTTTTAAATTTGTTACTTGGGTTTTCCTTTTGCAATATAACAAAATAACAGCCTTGCTGGTACAAAATAACAGCCTTTTTTAAGTCTTTCCTGCAGATTCCCAGTCTCAGTACTGGCTCCTTTATTAACTCTGTCAAAGGGTGGAGGTGGATGGGCCCAGAGTGAGCAGGTGATGCTCCGGCAGTCTTTCCTCAAGGTATCAGTAGTCGACTTCCTCCTGCCCCAACAGCTTACTGTGTTCTACCAGCACTGCTCAAAGTGGCGTTTAGAACCCAGCAGCACCAACAACACTGCGAAACTCTATTACAAATGCAGGGGCTCAGGACCCAGACCCACTGAATGGGAATCTGCACCCACAGGGCAACGCCTATGCTTTTAGAAGTTTGAGAAACCTGATGGGTAGGTCTCTTTCCCACCCACAGTAAGCAGAGTTACTAAGAAATGTAAATGTGTGTTTAATGGCTTTTTGCGTTACCGCCCATACCACGTTGTACAGAGAAAACAGGTGCAAGGTTTAACCTGAAGCCCAATTCTTGTTTTGTCTGTATTTACGAATAGATGGAGTCCAGTTGTCTTCTTCCGGGCTGTGACCACATTAAAGTGCGAAAACTCTTGCAGTTCTAATGCCGTGCATGTGTGCTTTTTTATGTTAGGTCAGTCTGCCATAGAATGAAGGTATTATGAAGCTTGAGGTTTTCCCTCTATATGTTCTTGACCTTTCTTTAATCCCAAACTAATGTGTAAAATGTAGTATGTTGGTACAAATTGTTGCCATTATCTGAAATATAGGTTTCCATTTGGATGTCTTTATTCCCTGGGGGAATAAATACCTTTGTGTTTTTATGGACTTTATTGTTTAGAATTACTGTTAACCTTTCTGCCAAATTAAAAACACATGAGTGTCCCTTTATTTCTGTGGAATCATAATCCAGGTGAATTTTTTAGTTATTTTAAATGTCCAGTTGGTCTGTACGGGTCATAGACTTGTTGATCAGATTCTGTTTAATATTGGAAACTAATGCTTGGATTGAATGACCTGTTTCAAATACCCAGGGGATGATTTATCCCTGTCTAAACAAACTGCTGAAGTGAAATGAGCAGGAAAGCCTGTCTTTCCTGTTACAGAAGCGTGGAGGAGGGTCACATCCTTTCCCTTGGGTGTTTTAGTGCTCAGCTTGTTCAGTGTTATAGGGGACTGAGAACAGAGTGCAGGTAGATGAGTATGAAAAGCCAGCATTTTCACTTTAAGATTCTCATCCCTGTGCCAACACCGCTGCCTCCAGTAAGGTACAGGGTTCTGTCAACAGCCGCATTTCTAATTCTGAAGGGGAGCCTGCCTCACTATCCCCACCCCTCACCTCCTAGACATTGTATGGGCAGAAGTATTGGCTAGGGATTTGATTATCAACATTACTGGAACCTTTTATAAGTTGTATCGCCTGTGTTCCAGACAATTTCTACACTTACCGTATAACTAGGAAAAGTTAATCTTGCTTTGCCTTAGTTTCCTTTTCTCTAAAAATGGCAGTATTTGCTCCTTTGTTTTCCCTGTAATACTGAGGATTAAGCAGTAATAAATGTTGTTGGGGTAAAATGCTTTGTCTTATTCTTTATGATTAGAAAGACTGTATTCTAGCTAGCCTTTCTGAGGAAATGATGTAGAATCTTCTTTTCTGCAAGTCTTCAAACAGAGGTCTTGTAACCACATAACCCGTCTACCTGGAGCCCTTCTCTGAGAACTTAAGACCATACCTTTTGCTGGAAGCCCTTCAAGCTAAAATGATGACTGGACAGATGTTTGATCATCCTGTTACATAAATCTTTCCTCTTGGCCCATAAGGATAATGAAGCCAATGGCTGAGCAGTAAGCCTTCTTGATTCCATGTTTATTTGCAGGGTCATGTTGAAAGGTATTTGAAACACGCTTAGAATGCATGTTGAAGATTTATGTCTTTTTGATGGACAGTTCCTGCCCAGAGGAGCAGCTTCAGTTGTTTTGATTGTCATTGCCAAGAACATCAGGAACAGATGCCTCAAGCCTCAGAGGCAGGGCTGTGCAGGAACCAGGCAGCAGGAAGCAGTGCAGAGAAGACTGGCCAGTACTTACAGGCTACTTCCTGACCTGAGAATGGTGTGCTTTTCATTCTTCATTTACCCATCGAGACTTCGTGAATAATGTTGTTCAAGAGTGAAGTACACAAAAGAGGTATTTCTTGAAAGTGTCTCCCCTCCCCCAACAAGTAAACCACAGAACCAGTTCTATCAAATTAATACCCCACACTGCTAACCATGTCACATTTCTTCGTATGGCAAGGTTTAGGTATCATTTTTGAGCCTCACTAGACTTTTAGGAAGGAGGACGTAGCAGAACTCATCTCATTGTGACTTGAGTTGTATGACCTCTTTGAGGTGACACTGGTCTGGCTTTAGGAATGGAACCTACCACACAGCTCGTTACTGGCCCGGGCCTTTGTTATGTCTAGCCCAGCCGAGGCAAGACCAAGTTTCCTGCAGAAGTGGGTCCTACTGCTGAGGGGCTCCATCCCACAAGCACAAGTGGCCCTTGTCATACAGTGTGTTTTCACCCTCTTTCTCATTCAGGAGTCTGTCTGAATTCCCCCTGAAGTTAGCCAAGAGCTTGTCCAACATAACTACTGCATTGATCTCAAATAGATGGCATCATCTGGGTCTCCCAACCTGCTTAGAAAGAAAAGAAACAAAACCGTGCTTTCAAGGACTTGGCAAAGACTTCGTAGGCCAGGGCCTTTGACATGAAACTTCTCTCGGACTGTGAGGGAGCCAGCCTCATGACAGCAGCTGGAACGGCTGCTCCAAGTCCAGATCTGCGTTAGTGTTGCCCAGCGAGCCAGGCCCTGGGCGACAGGAAGTGAGGGACACCCTCCGGGGAAGCCAAAAGGCCTAGACAGCCGCTGCCTGGCTTGGATCATCGCCAGCAGGCATGTTGACCTCTGCACAATTGTATCTGGGTTTTCCTCCCCCTGTTACTCGCTGGTGTTCTGTAACCAGGGAACACTAAACTGCAACCAGCTCTCTTTATGATCCTGGACAAGTGTTCCCCTTTGAGCCTCAGTGTCCTCTCTAAAAGGAAGTTGGATGTGTAGAAGTTGTCAAACATGAACTCGGTGGAAGAAGACAGTGGGGCTGCGTCTTTTCAGCTCCACTCCTCCCACGCCCACCTACTCCCTTGAAGTTCCAGGGAGTGCATGTGGAAAATTGCCAAGCAGGACTGCCTCTAAGGGCTTTTTTTTTTTTTATCATTCTGTGAGTTTCCTCTTTGGTTGGTTTATGTCTGGAGTTTTTGTAGCATCTTCTCACCCATCCGCAGCATGTCACTGGTTCTCTGGATGAAAGAGGCTTCAGGTCGTACTCTACTGTCTAGAATTCTGGAACTAGAGTGTACTGTTCTTGGGTTTTGTTTTTTGGTGGCTGGCTGGTACAGGGATCAAACCCCTGACCTTGGTGTTATCAGCACCAATCTCTGAACAACTGAGCTAACCAGCTAGCTCCCTGGAGTGTGTTTATTTTTTGTACTGGGAGCCAGAA